CAGTGGTGCCTCGCATAGCGAGGTTAATCCATTCTGGATTAATCTTCGCTATGGCGAAACATCGCTGAACGGGGCAGAAAAGCCCATAGGGCCAAAAACTCACCGTCCAGCGATGCTTCCCGGGTCCAGCAGCCATTTTCGCGCCCCCGTTAAGCGAGGGCAGGGCGCGAAAACGCTGTGCGTGGCCATTTCGGGGCTTCCGACGGCCATTTTGGAGCCACCAAACAGCTGATCGTCGGGCTTCGTTTTGGGAAGATCAATAAGCGAAACCCTTACCGATCTTCGCAAAGCGAGTTTTGCCCATAGGGGCCATCGGTATGCGATCGCATTTGCGATCGCTGAGACCCCATCGCTATGCGATTTCGTCGTTATACAGTGTGCTCGTTAAGCGAGGCACCACTGTATTAACAACAACAACAACCACCTTTGAACTTCAGAGCTGGAAGGGACCCTACGCATCATCAAGTCCAGCCCCACTCCAGGAGACACAGTGGGGAAATTTGAATTTCCAGCCAGATCTAAGCCACTGAGCTATCCAGCAGTTCCATCCAATGGAAGTTAACCAGAGTTAGGAAAAGCTACTTCCCCGCACTACAACTCCCAGTATCCCCTAGACAGCACGACCAATGCCATGCTAGGCGTCCTAGATTGAAAAAAAAGCCCAACTTCTCCAAGTTTCGTGGGAAGCCGAGGAAGGTTCTTTGCAGCGTTCAACGTGGGTGTGCCTTTGATATTCCCCGTTGAAATGGAAGGCTGTTAAACAGGCAGGAGGGAGAGGGGGGGGAGAAATTGAATTATGAGAAATATTGATTGGCGCAGGGATGGTGCAAGCGATAAGCACCCGGCCGCTTTGAGCAGGCAGGTAAAATCAGCCCCCCCCCCTCCACCTTGCACTTGGCTTCCCCCTTGCAAAGCGGATTAAAGAGCAGGAGCGAGCCCTGGACACTGCGGGAAAGTGCTTCCTTTGCTGACAGACAACTTTGCCATCGTGGCCGCCGTGGCTCAGAGGAACTGAAAACAGCTGCTGTCCCTTGATACCGGCGTCCACCCTGGCACAGCTGGAGCCACAGAACTGCTCGCGGTGGCTGGCGCAGGGCTGCGCGGCAGCCTTTTGGCTTGTTTGGCTTTGTTACAGGAATGTTTAAGTTCCCTCCATCCTTACTGCTGCTAGGATGGTCAATTTATTTGTGCTCACATCCCTTTTGCAAGAACAGCCCTTACGAGGCAAGGGCAAAGAGCAATGCGGTCAACTTTGGATGCTTCGTGAGTGAATGAGGACTAGAAACAAGGGCTCTGCAGTTGTGCTTTCCCTCTGGTGCTGTGAAGGACTAGATCACCTTGCTCAGATCAGTGCCCTTGAAAATAGCGAGGGCCACAAAAGATGATCAGGGGACTGGAAACCAAGCCCTAGGAAGAAAGCCGGAAAGAACTGGGCATGTTTAGCCTTGAGAATAGAGGACTGAGGGGTGATAGGATAGCACTTTTCAAATACAGTGGTGCCTCGCTTTACTATTGCCCCGCATTATGACGAATCCACTTAAGGGCGATCTTTTTGCGATCGCAATTGTGATTGCAAAACGATGGTCTTAATGGGGGAACTTCGCTTTGCAATGATCAGTTCCCTGCTTCGGGAACCGATTCTTCGCAAAATGACATTTTTCGGACAGCTGATCGGCGGTTTCAAAATGGCCACCGGGTGATTAAAATGGCTCCCCCACTGTGTTTAGGGACGGATTCCTCGCTATACAGGCAGTGAAAATGGCTGCCGTATGGAGGATCTTCGCTGAACGGTGAGTTTTTACCCCATTGGAACGCATTGAATGGGTTCCAATGTGTTTCAATGTTTTTTTTCACTTTGCGATGTTTTCGCTTAACGGCAATTTTCCTGGAACGGATTATCGTCGTTAAGTGAGGCACCACTGTACTTGAAAGACTGTCATACAAAGAAGGGGCAGGATCTGTCCTCAATAATCCCAAGAGGGCAGGACATGTAATCATAGATTCAAGCTGCAGGAAGACAGATTTAGGCTGAAGATCAGGGGAAAAAACTTCTTGACTGTAGGAGGAGTATGACAACGGAACCATGTAATCATCTCAGGAAGTGGTAAACGCTCCAACACTAGAGGGCATTTGTTACCCCATTGGAACGCATTGAATGGGTTCCAATGTGTTTCAATGTTTTTTTTCACTTTGCGATGTTTTCGCTTAACGGCAATTTTCCTGGAACGGATTATCGTCGTTAAGTGAGGCACCACTGTACTTGAAAGACTGTCATACAAAGAAGGGGCAGGATCTGTCCTCAATAATCCCAAGAGGGCAGGACATGTAATCATAGATTCAAGCTGCAGGAAGACAGATTTAGGCTGAAGATCAGGGGAAAAAACTTTTTAACTGTAAGAGGAGTAAGACAACGGAACTATGTAATCATCTCAGGAAGTGGTAAGCGCTCCAACACTAGGGGGCATTTGAAAGAAAATTGGACAACTGTCTGTCAGATCTGCTTTGAATTGTGTTCCTGCACTGAGCAGCGGGTTGGACTTGATGGC